GGAGCTGTGCTTCAGAGATTTCCATTTGGCAAAAATTAGATTTCGAACAGGAGGGGTTCCATGAGGGCCCCTTTCACCACTGTCAGCCCTCTCATAATTTTCCCATGCCTTACAGGAAAAACCTTGCTCATGAAAACTCTAAAAAGAGACTTTCTGTCCTCTTGTGTGTTTTTTTTTTGGGTTTTTTAAAACTATTTTCTTACTTTTTTCCAACACCCAGTTTTACCCTGCTTCTCTTCTAAGCAAATTGTTGGCACAAAACTGAAAGTTACTTTTAGAAAGAATTAACACACACACAGGCAAAAGAGATGCAAAACTGAGCAGTGATAGAAGGGTTCTCTAGGCCTTACAGCATCATCCTATTATTGTTCAGTTATGGAGAGCTTCAACCGGTCATTATATTTATTCCTAAAAGTAACTCTCTAATCTCTGATTCTAAGTAATTCACATAAAAGATCTCTGAAGAAAGAGATCAAATCCTGAAACTCAAATCATGAAATGATTAAATTTTTTTTAAAAATAGAATGTTGCGATTGGCTTGTGCTGCTCCTGGGAAACCATATGACTGTTGTGAACAGAAGTATCTTCACCCAATTCCATCTTTCCTTTAAAAAGGTAGATTTCACTGAAAAGAGTTATGTCTCAGTTGCTTTCTGATTGAAAGGGTGTCCAGAAGCTACAACTGATGCAAAATGCAAGAGCCAGACTGTTGTCTTTATTACTGGTCCTGAACCAAGTGCACTGGCTTCTAGTGTGCTTCTGAGTTCGAGGTGCTGGCTTTGATCTACTGAACTGCATGGGGCCAGGAGATCTGAAAGACAGCTTCTCCTATGCACACCTGCCCAGATTCTGACATCTTCAAAATAAGCCCTGTTGAAAGTCCCACCACTCGGAGAGGCTAGATGGGTAGGTACGTGACATAGGGTTGTTGTTTTCTGTGGCAAGACTTTGACTGTGGAACTGTCTCCAAAGAGAAGTTAGACTGGCTGCATCTCTTTTGAGCTTCTGATGGGCAGCAAAAATTGTATTTCTCCAAAGAGTGTTTCATCTGAAGGATTTTTTTTAAGGACACTATTTGATGTCTTTTAAATAATGTTTTGGATCTGCCTTTGAAGAATATTTCAGATCTCTTTTAAACATTTACAGTCTATCTTTAATCATTTGAGTCTATTGTAAATAGCTTTGGGACCTCTGCTGAGCAGAAAAGATATACAAATGCTTTAAACAAATACAGTAACAAATAAGTAAAATGTCAGTTTTAAGTTAAAAAAAAATTAAACTATATTGGTTTTTTACAGTATAAATTTTGGTATCTAATGTTTCTTTCGGTTAAGATTGTAATCCCATTCATCCAGTCTTTGGAACATAATTATCAGGACAGCAGTGCCATGAAAAAATGAAGAACCTTCAGGATTTTATTAGGGCACACAACAGTGTGCGTATAGAATTCAAATTCTGGTAGCTTTATTTACATGAAATAAATCCTTTGATTTTGATAGGCAAATACATTTTTTCACAGACCCTTTTGGTATCTTGTATATTGACATCTGCAGCTGTGGTATTCATCATCTAGCTTTAGAGTAGATGTTTTCTTTTCTTTATTTACTTAAGAAAGACAAAATGGTCCAGAATGGTTGGCTTCCATCATTTTGAAACTAAAAGAAGATGCATAACTTTGGCCAAATTACTCAAAAACCCTAACCCCAACCATCTTGTTTAGAAGCTGTTTATGTTCCAGAGCGTTTTATGAATAATTAAACGGCAGAGGAATGAAAATTCAAATCAGCCTAGCTTTGGATTATTATTTTATTTGCATTTCTGTAGATAAAAATTGTGCTCTTGGAATCTCTGCACAAGGATCTGATATTGTATTTGTGAACACTGAGGAAATCAATTAATGGAAATTAAACGTTCAAAGTTTCACAGTCTGACAGATACAATCTTGGTCTAAAGTCACTCAGTATCTGCAAGCACTTGTTAAGGCAGAGCAATCAAAGCGCCTAAATTGAATTGCTACTATACAGCAATTAGTTTATTGATTTAATTAAGAATGCCACCTTTCTAATTCTCAGGTCGTGATTGAAACATTTTCTGATTGAACATATTTGCCATTAACAGGACAGCAGGATCCAGCAGCAAAAAACCTCCTAAAATGATGATGGTGGTGGTAGTAATAATAATAATAATATGAATGTAATATAAAGGCGTGACTTGACGAGAAACACAGGAGTGGGTGAATCAGGCTAGAATTATGGAAAAAAAATGCATCACTGAAATATATTTAATGAACCAAATAATAAGGAAAACATCAAGAAAGAAATTGTAATTTCCAGTGGAAAATGTGGTATCTTGATTCAGTTTGATAACTTAGAATTTTATTTCATTGTTATTAGAGATGGGGGTATTTGTATACAAATATGAATATCCCCGCACAGGTGGAAATAATGAGGGTCTGGGGGCCAGACAGTCCACTCATGATTTCACTGCCACCAGCTCTGTGGAGGCTTCCTATCGTGCTGTGCTCCGCAATAGATTAGTCAATCTGGAACCTGGCAGAGAGGCTTGTCATCCTGCCTCCTGCCAGGAGTGGGTAATCGATTGCAGACAACAACATGATAGGAAGCCTCCACGGGCAAAATCGTGAGTGGACAGTCCGGCCCCATGGGGTTGGACCCTTGTTATTTCCACCTGTGTGGGGACATTTGTATACAAATACGAATACCCCCATCTCTAATTTTTATCATCATAATAAAATTAAGAAACTTTGGAAACTTTTTGAGTTGTGACACAACATGTAAAAGTATCTTCCTCAAAACATAAATTAATGACCATTAATGATAAGGTGGTTATTCAGTGTGGAGTGGAGTAGATAGAGTGATGGCCTAGGACTCAGGTGACCTGGGTTCAAATGCCCATTTGGCTATGGAAACTCATTGCAGGGAGGATTGGAACTTATAAAAACCACTCTTTAAATATCTCACTTACTTTAAAAAACCCTATTACGGTCCCACGTCAGTTCCTTGGAGGCACATGACAACAATAACATGAAAAGATCCTTTAACAATATTAAGGGGGAATTAGTGTTTTCAACTATGTAATATTTTCCCTACAATCAATTACATGTTTGTTGCTTGTATTCTTATATCATTGCATCTTGAAAAAACCACCATCTCCCCACAAAAGGATGACAGAGTGCTATCAGGGTTCTCTGGAAAACAGGTTCAATTCATTGACTCCAATAAAGTAGAGCCATTCTAAGTCACTTCTGACTTAAAGCTTCAGTTCATCTTTGTGGGTCTACTGAAAGCTTGAATTCACAGTTTCTCCTCTGAGCTAGCTGTAAAATCTCAATCACTTTTTGATGGGACAAGAGGCCTAAAAGCAGCCACCTTCTTCAATGCAGACTAGCAACAAGTATCTCTTTGACATTGCAGGTATGATCCTAATTCAGCAAGAAGGGTGTGGCTTCAACAGGAGATCATCATTCTTCGAAGTGAGCTTCCAATGATGCGACACTAGGATACTAAACCAAGTTTGAATCTGGTTAGTCCCTCGAAAGGAAGTGCTTGAGTTTCCCACATAAACAATAAAACTTACAAACATTCATCAATATCTGAAGTACAAAATATATTCTGGACATAGAAGGCACTGCAAGGAAAGATCCAGACAAATTATGTTTTACTGCATGAATATATAATCAATGAAGTTACTTTGATTGGTATATGATAGCAATAAAAATTGCAATAAAACATACTGCTCGCTATGTTGACGTTTTCAAGGGGCATTCCCAAAGGTCTTAACATGCAGTCCTGTATATGTTTCCTCAAAAGAACACCATGCTACAATCAGTTAGACTTATACCCCAGTAAGTGGATTCAGGATTTCAGCTTAGTAATTATTACAAACTCCCAGGCAATTCAGAATACATTGTGCAACAGGAATACATACTGGCATAGGGAGAGTTGGCAGCAGACCCATTCAAGAACGTTGGCGATCCTCCTAGATTAGACATTCCAGCATTTCCATAGCCATTCATGCTGGTCGTGACGGAGTTGTAGTTTGTCTGCTGTGGGGTAGTGCTTGGCACATAACCATGAGGTGACACACTGCTTGAATTGCGAGTAAAACCTGTTTGGACACGTTAACAGACAGTCAGTGTCTGATCAAGATAGAATCTGACTCAATTTCAAAAAGAACCTAGATTCGGCTGAACCGAAACTTGAGGAAATTTCAGTGAGACCGGGGGGTGGGGGGGAAGGTGAAGGAATGAAGGTTATAAACTTTATAATGTTTTCATTTATTATTTCTTTATACTTCTTAGATGCTTTATTTGGGTCTGTGTACTCAGTCCATGGTATTCTAGATCAGAGTGCCAAGTTACACGAGCTGGCCCTCGATTACACTGCTTGTGGCTTCACAGGCTTACTGTTAAATGTATTCCAGCATTTAACAGTAAGCCTTTCAGACCATTTAACTGGATGACATGAATGTTTGGATTCAATGACCACGATGCAGTCCAAAATGCAACTTATCTCTAAATACAGGACGTCAAGAACATACCATTGCTGCTTATCTGACTATCTGGCTATGGAAATGGAATATATATTGTGTCTCAACTATGACATGTTTTATTATTACTCTGGTAGGAAGCAACATTGGGACGTGGTGGCGCTGCGGGCTAAACCGCAGAAGCCTGTGCTGCAGGGTCAGAAGACCAAGCAGTCATAAGATCGAATCCACGCGATGGAGTGAGCGCCCATCGCTTGTCCCAGCTCCCGCCAACCTAGCGGTTCGAAAGCATGCAAATGCGCCCTCGATTACACTGCTTGTGGCTTCACAAGCTTACTGTTAAATGTATTCCAGCATGGAAGATGTAGCATCCTTTCAGACCATTTAACTGGATGACATGAATGTTTGGATTCAATGACCACGATGCAGTCCAAAATGCAACTTATCTCTAAATACAGGACGTCAAGAACATACCATTGCTGCTTATCTGACTATCTGGCTATGGAAATGGAATATATATTGTGTCTCAACTATGACATGTTTTATTATTACTCTGGTAGGAAGCAACATTGGATAGATCAGAGGGATTTTTGTGACATGAATGTTTGGATTCAATGACCACGATGCAGTCCAAAATGCAACTTATCTCTAAATACAGGACGTCAAGAACATACCATTGCTGCTTATCTGACTATCTGGCTATGGAAATGGAATATATATTGTGTCTCAACTATGACATGTTTTATTATTACTCTGGTAGGAAGCAACATTGGATAGATCAGAGGGATTTTTGGGGGGCATGCCCTTTGTTTGTTTGTAGTACAGGATTTCCTCTAAGCAACCCCCTAGAGTCGAACACGACTGGACAAAAATTGTCAAGGGGAACCTTTACCTTTACCTTTACCTTAGGAAGCAACATTGGATAGATCAGTCTGGCTGGTGTGTGTGTGTGTGTTTTAATAAGCATGGGTGCACTCTTAATTCACAGAGGGATTTTTTGGGGGCATGCCCTTTGTTTGTTTGTTTGTTTGTTTAAAAGAGCTTTCCCCCTTTGTCCAAAGAGGAAGAGTCTTCTCCTTGTTTTTAAACAAATCTTACCCTGATTGGTGCCCTGTGAGGCTTCTGAGACATTGACTGCTAGCTGACCACTAAAGGAATTCACGCCCATCATTCCTGCATGGACTGATGTGTTGGTGAGTGCTGGGAGTTGGTTGTGATTGCGAGGGACGCTGTAGAGTGCTTCTGCAATATCAGCCGCTCTTTTCAGTATTATTTCCTAGAGAAAAAAAAAGCCAAGGGATGTAACATAGTAATTAAAATGAAATTCAACCCCAGCCTCAGTTAACAAGCCTATGTCAATATCAAGTGGCCATTCACAGTAGGAGCAACAGGACAAGACTAGACTGATCCAAGTGTAAAACAGGTAAATATTATACTCTAAACATAATTCAGAGGAGATCACAGGAGATGGTAGATCCATAATCTCATATATCCATCAAACAACTCTTGAGGTGTTTGAAAAAGGAATCATGTAAGCAGGGAGTGTGTTCAAAGCATACCCTTGCCTGTCACTAGGCTACAGACAGGAGAATTTGGAGTGGTTTGGTTTACACTTCAGTGCAATCTCTTTTATCACTCAGTTGACCAATCTGTTCACACTGGAGATGTTCATGCTCTTGTGGGATGGGGCCACACAAGTCTTTGGATCACCTTTTCACTTGTGTCTAAGTGTACATGGTTTAATCATGAGCAAGGTTTACCAGGTCTACTCACAAATAAGGAGGCAGCAACAGAGGACAGCAGCTCCCATGGATGGTAATAGTGCAAGAGGAGAATGTTGGGGTGAATGTTTGGGAGACATTCTAGGGGGTCTAGGTCTCTGCTGGGGCTGTGCTGCTTTATGGGGATGGAGCCCAAGGCATTAACTAACCTCCTTTCCTACTTTTTCTCACAGCCATCAATCAACAAAATGCAGTGGCTTTCCTTTTATTTATTTATTTTTGTTAAATAAAGTAAGTCATATATTGAAAGCGCAATGTATCAACCTAACGTGGTATTATAATGACGCTGCATCAGTTAGAGAAATGTTTTTTAAATACATGAAAATAGAAGAGGGGTTTTCTCTATTCTCCCTTTTAATGTCACAACCTGCCTAATACATCGTAAGGTTGTCACCTCCATTTGGGTGTGGACTAACCATCTGCACAGGCTTTACATGGAGTTAATTGGGATCATCCTGAAGAATACATGCCCTAGCACTGTGCCATGAAGGTGTATGACAGCTCTTAAAGAGCAGGATGGGCCCATCTAAATAGAAACATATGGGGACACCATCATTTGGTCTGAACCAAACCATTCCAACAGCGGTCTATATACTGGTCTATATTCTAGTCCCACTGTCTTCACATGAAGAAGGACACTCTGATGAGGAGTCAATCTGCTGTGCATAGAGCCTCTTTGTCAGTTTTATCTATGACAGTGGGAAGCCATTAACATACCTGAGAAGCAAGTTAGTGGGAAGCCATTAACATACCTGAGAAGCAAGTTGACCTCATATGTGTTAAATATTGGACTTCAGTGTCCACTGCAGAATGCATCTTATTTGCTGAAATTACTTAGGCACTCAAGAGTTCTGCATTCCCTTTTTTTTGCTCTGATCTTACTCTGTGAAATTGCTGTGAGATTTTATTTCCTACCCTGACATGGTGTGAATAAAAAAGAAAAAAATACAACTCTACTGAATGGTCTTCTCTGTGAAGGAGGAAAGAGAGTTCACTGACTATTAGATTTTCCATAAAAGAGGACTAGTTTTTCCTTTCTGTCTCTTAACCAATCCCTGTTTGGGGTTGCCTAGGGGGAGGTCTGCTTCCTTATAGTGCAAAATCACTTTCTGATTCAATAGGCAGGGCAAATGGAAGCTCTTCATATGAAGTGGTCCTTGAAATATAAAGAAAACATTTGCACATCTGTCTTCAACTCAAGTTGTTTAGGCACCAATTCTGTCTCTCAACGTTTATACTGTATCAGCTGTGTTGTGTAACCCTATCAAAGCACACTCAGTCTTGAGAGCTATTACATGAAGAATGCATTTACCTGGTTGTTATGTGGCATACCATAGAGTGCTTCCACCAGATCAGCTGCTCTCTTGAGTATTACTTCCTGTAAAAAGGAAAAGACAATAAAGAAATCAGTTCTGATGAATTCATTAAACTGTTGGAAAACAGTGCTTTGCCGTTGTGGTACTATGGTACACAATCAGTACCATGTTCCAGATAAAATGTATTTAACAGGAATATATTTAGCAAGCTCAGAATATTATTAAATCACAAGTTTATCTAATTCAAGCACAGAGCCTGATATAGTTAAAAGGTTAAACATATTTCTGATGCACAACAGAATGTGACAGTCAGTTGTCTAGTATCAGCAAAATAAGCCACTTGTAGGCTTATTACAAAAGATGACCTACAATTTTTTGTTGAATGACTATGATCACAATCATTCAGAGCATGTTACAAATCTCTCCAATCTGTTTATTTGGCTCTTCATATTACAGAAACACTTGCCTCACGTTGTGACGCTATCGCTCGAGCGCAGTTTATCTGATAAAAAAATGTAATGTCCAGCTTCTTTGGATCACCTTCTTTTATCAGAGGGAGGTATGACAAACAGGTACATTTATACGATATGCCAGAGTAGGAAAGAGCAGGAGGAGTTTGAAGATGAACTGGAATACTACAGAGGGATGTTTATAAAATTTTTGTCATGGACAGGCAACAAAGATGGGGTGTGTCTCAATTCTGAGCAGAATATACCAAACCCTTGCTATATTCTTCGAATCGTTGGCATTAGGAACGATTCTCCTGTCTCTTGTCACATCCTCATACCCTTGCAACTGACATCTATTTGCTCAGGAGGGAAAGGGATTTCATTGCAATCAAAATTCTCAATGAAGGAATTCATTCCACCATTTCTGAAACTCATCACAAGACAAAGCACACTTTGCCTCAGAAGTCTGCATACCTGGGAGGCTTGCAATGTGTTTTGGAAGAATAAGAGGTACCAAAACCTTGCCTATGCTCTAAAAAGAAAAAAAGAAAAAGAAAAAAAATGTCTAGCTGAAAAAACATGAGAAGTGGGGAAAAGGCAAAAATAGGAAAAAGGAAATACATTAGAAAAAGAGCACACAGAAAAATGTGTTTGAATTTTTATGAGCTAGAAAAAAAAGTCCTGCAAAGGATGGAATGAGAGAATGAATACAAGTGGGATTTGGAGAAATGCAGTGGAATCAAGATGGAAGTTTTCATATTGTCCCTACCTTCACAGCCCTAGGTTCCCCACTGTATCTGAGGCATAAAAAACCCTTGAACAACAAGCACTGACTTAACAGAATACAGCTGTACATTACAGACCATAAGCTCTCTCTAATACAGTGCTAATTTTCACTGGCTCCATTTAAACAGCAGAGCAAAGCAAACAGCAGTTCAGACAAGTTAAACATAATTCCACTTCTTCAGACTCTACAGTGTACAGTAACAACAAAACTGGATCCAAAGCTATTTCGGCAGGTGCCTTAGAAAACAAAATGCAACCTTTTTAAAAGCTGAACTTTAGCAAAGTTGAAAAGTTGAACTAGGAATGTTTTATATACTAGCTAGCTTGTCTAACCAAAAGAAGCAGTAATGTTCAATTTTCATATACTATAGTCTCTGATCAGAAAATAGAGATATAATTGCATTCATTTTGCTGTCACCATAACCTCTTCAAAATCCACGAACAACTCTTCAGATGACAAGCTTTTAGATGCATATTAGCATTTTTTTCAATTTAAAATTCTCTACGATATACGATAAAATACTTGGCATACTGCAGTAGCTACCTATGATATGCATCATGTCCTAAACATAGAAATGAGAGGTGTCTGTGTGTGTGTGTGAACATAACCCATAGTAAACATTTATCATTCCTCAAAACCACTGCACAGCTTCCAGAATGCACAATTCAACTGTTCTTCACGCATGCAGCCAGGTGCATTATATAACAGATGGATTCTGAACCAATACATTTGAAACTAGTTCTGAAGCGATCAGTAGCTCGACAGCCTTTGTCCTTTGTGCGCATCTTGACCAAGGCGTTAAATAATTTAAAAAGGTATGAACTGAATGCACACGATACCCATATGGAATCGGGCCATGCTGTTGTAGCTGAGCCACTTAGAATGTCACTAAGCTCTGGCTGCCTTGTAAAAGATTAAAATTCTCGAGTAGGAGAGAAGAGCTTCTTGTCAAATCTGACTTCTTCAGCCCACAGTAAACTAAGACTTCTTGTCCAGACAAAATGACTTTCAAAATGGAAAACCCTTCTAGGTGAAATCAAAGTCAGCAGTGTTGAGACTGAAACCACTACGGTCGCAGTCTTACAATATATGCGTGTACCAAATAATTATCACTTTTGTGGGGTGAGTGAATCAGTAGCGATCTTTTCTCCCTATGTTATCAATTCTGAACGAAAACAAAAAGTGCTTCAAATACGAGCAATGACATAGGCTACAATTCACAATCTTTTTACTCTGGAGTTCTTTAATTCACTTGAGTAGAACTGCTCGGGGAAGATGGTTTGTAGATTACTGCTTTTACAATATTAGACAGAAATTTAAACCTCACTTCTCCCGAGATAAGCAGTTATCTAATAGAAAACCACAGCAAAAAAACAAAAACAAAAATAAATAATAAAATAGAAGAACCTAGTTTTATGTGTTGTTTATTACTGGAGTATACTGAATAAACTGCCTTTACATTTTGTAGCTACTGGTAATCAGTTTTCAGGTGTCTTTATTATGTGAAAAGTAAACTACCTATACATCTAATGAATTCTTCAACATAGTAAGACCTTTTTTGTACTCAGCACTTTTAGATTAAGCAAGGCCAATGTCACAGAAAAACTCTCCTTGTCAGATAACTCGAAGCTATTATTCTAAAGAAGTTCAGAGCATCTATATTCAGTCTGGTCTTCCATAAACCATACAGTAATAAACATAATTTAAAACATTTGCCATTCTCATTCAGTTGCCATAACTAATCCTGCCATTATTTCAAATATAAAGAGGCACCTAAAAGTCTTCTTTAAGTTACTGCAACAGCCCTTGCAAGGTGCTTGAATTGCAGTGACCAGAAAATTGTTCTCACCTCCATGTCATTACGCTTCCAGTGAACCAGCCCCCGAGCGTGTTTGTGTTCGGGATCTAATATATTGCCTTTCAATCAGAGCTGAGAGCCACTGAACACATAGACAGAACATGACGAGCAGGTCAGGAAAGCAATAAAGATTTTACAGAGCTGTCCAAGGTGCTAAATTTACTCAATAATGGGTTTGGCACCATAGTGTTAACCTCTCATTTACTACCAGTTTGAGAGACTAAATTGAAGTAGCTGACTTCATTTACCTTGAAATGTATATTTTATGACATTATGTAAGTAGATTGAAAGGGCACTGTAGCTTTAACAATTTAAGGGCTAAAGCATGTTTAAGATGAAGCCTGACTATTTATTGTATATTGCACTTAAAGTATATGGAATATTAAAATGCGCTGATTAAATTTGTAAATGGTATTATAAGAAGGATAGCTAATATAAAAAGATCTGTGCTTTCAAAAATGAAGGTGATATTGTGCCACTGAAAACCTTCACTGAGAAAAGCAGAGATGCATAGCAAAATATTTCTCTAACACACAAGCCTGGACTTTAAGCAGACATTGTTGCAAGGTAACTACAGAAACAGACACATATTGTATACTCAGAAAGCAGTTCCACAGTATTCAGTGGAGCTTACTCCCAGGAAGCATGTACAGAACTGCAGCATTACCTGAAGTTCAAACCTAATGGGTGGAAAGGAACATGGGCCAGGGATACCCTGTCCCAGTTTAGTGCCAGGGATTGTTCCCAAAATGGACCAGGTTCCAAGCCAATTCAGCACTGTTCACCAAGCATCGGCAAAAAGGAGCCACAGAGAACCCATAGGGAGGGAGAACATCTATATGACTATAAATACGAAAACTGTAATACTCAGAATCCCATGCTGTCCAAAAAAGTGAGTTTTAACATATCTGATGATGGCTAAAGATTTGTCCTGGACATCTGTTGTATTGAATATTCTCCTTGGTGAGGTTTTCTGAACATAGCATAGCCCTTTTTGATAAAGTGATACGTAAATTGTAGACTTTACAGATTTAAGTACTCATAGTAACATTTATATATGTTTTGGTTACAGATTATAATAAGATATATCACGTCTGAGAGTTTGCCAGGTTGGAAAAATTGGCTGAAGCCACTTCTTGCATCTGTTGTTAGTTGTAGTGGTCAAAGACATATGAAAGACATAAGGGTAATAATGCTGTCATTGATTTCAGCCAACTCGAGTTTGTTCAGCTGGGCAAACAGAGACTGGGCAGATCTATGGAGACAGAGACCAGGCAGATTACAACGCTGGCTCCCTCGTACTTCTTGAAACTATTGGCTATTTTTGCAACCTCTTTTTTTTTATTTATTTATTTATTTATTTATTTATTTATTTATTTATTTATTTATTTTGGAGGAGGACATTTTCAGCCAGCTTTCAGTGTTTGGAAAGAAGGAAATCCAGCAGCAAAGGTAGGTGGTAAAACAGGTACTTGAGAGTGATGGATAATTTTCAGTGCTATTATACTGACAACTTTTCTATGAAATCTTTTCTTTTTCTATGAACTCTTCAGGCATTATTCTGTGTTTAGGTGGACTAGCCTATGAAGTACTGGATGCATGTACATCCCCTTTGAAGTCACCAAACAGAGGTAATCTAAAATTAAAATAAATATAAATATGAGAGCCACGGTCACACCCAGAATAAGTCAGTTCAACCACAAGCATTGTTTTTCAAAGAGCACAAGGCAGCAATCCATGAAGGGGATCAAACTACTTTACCTGTTGGTAAACTTATTTTTGCTAATTTGTTTTCCTCTAGTGTACCATATACTGGGATTGTTCGAGATCTTCTACCTGAACCTCACAGCTTATAACATTCTGAAACAACAGAATTTTACTCCATCTGAAATCTAATTTACAGACATTTTTTTCAACAAAGATTATTTCCTTGCAAATGGTTTAAATAACATTTTCCTTTTAAGTGCA